TTAAAATCACCGGCCAAGTGCTATGGGTAGAACTTTGATATCCGAACGGGTTGAAACCATCAGTAGCTAACCCTAATCGAACATTTCGTGGATCAGCAGCAAATTCTACATGTCTTTCGTTAAACTGTTTCCATGCTCTAGAATCCCTAGGATGTCTCATTAACCCATCCTGACTAATATCCACAGCATGCCATCTCATATATTCAGCTATTTTAGAAGACATGAACAACCGTTGTAGCCTAGGCTTAAGGGGAAAGTAACGTAGAACCTTGGCAGGCTTTTTCTTTTTGGACTTACCAATTGACAAGTTTTCATTTCTCTGTTTTTTTTGCTTCCATCTTGAAGTGTTGCATACCTTGCATATTTCCATATTCTTATCGTCCCCCCAATACAACATGCAATCATTCGGACATGCATGAATACAAGTATAATTCAAACTGAGTTTGTTTATAGTTTTTTTGGCCTCATAAAATGAATCAGGCAATCTTGCATTTTCAAATGCATCTTTCAATAGTTCAAAAATCATAGACATGGCTTTATTACTTATTCCACATAAACACTTGATGTGATACAACTTCAACAAGAATGATAGCTTCGTATACTTAACACACCCTTCATACAATTCTTGGGTTCCATCTCTAAGCAGCTCATAAAATATCTTACTTTCTTCACCACCCTCGCCACCCGATTTCTCACTACCCTCACCACCAGATAGTACTCCATCCTCATTTACCATTTTATCTGATTCATTTATACCATGTGAAACATGTGCAAAAACATCATGAATAAGATTCATTACAGAATTCTCATCTTGCACATTCATATGGGCAGCAACAGGAGAAGAATTAGAAGTGGGAGAAGTAGAAGTGGGTGCAGGCCCACCTTCGCCATGCCAAACCCAATGAGTATATCCAAGCAAAAACCCATTGCAAAGCACATGCTCTTTCACTTCAAGTTTATCTAACCATAGTCTGAACTTGCATTTTACACAAGGGCACAATATATTTCCATCAACAGATTGATGCTCAAGTGCAAACTCAATAAATTTATCCAATCCCTCTAAAAACTCATGTGTATTTCGTGGCAACTTTATCCAAGATTTATCCATGAAGAAACACCTGATTGCTATGAAAAATTACCTGAGCAAACTAAGTATGGATTATATTAGGAGAGTTCAAAATAAAACCACATTTTCTTTACGACAAGAAGTTTATAAGACACAGGCAGCACAAATGCACAGTTCCATATATAGCAAAAAAAATTAAGTGAAAAATACATTACCATACCTATATCCCAGCACTGCAATAACTAGCAAAACCAAATAGCTCCCAGGAAGACAATATTGAAATTTTCTTTTAAGTCCTCTTAACAAGTATCTGTAGGGAAACAAAAGACAATAATAAATAATAAAAAGCAATAATAAACAACTATAGGATACAAATAACTATAAGATGAAATTGCAAACATGAAAGGAATCTATTATGACAAATGTAAATGATGTCTGGGGAATAAACTAATAACCCCTAAAACATTATGTTTTTTTTGCAGTTTACTATATCAACATACAAACTATATCAACATTTAGGTGTTTTTTTGCAATTTTTTTGAGTTGCTGGAATAATAATGTGAAATGACATCAAAACCTTTTGTTCAAGCCTAGCCAATACATTAAGCTGGGGAAAAATATAATCATGAAGATTGTGATGATTTATTTAACACCCAATGTTTTTTATTTTTTATTACAATTTATTTAATAAGCCTTCAAATAAAGAGTTTCACCTGCACAACCTCTCTATATACTCATTACCAATTCACACCCATTGTGTCATGCATGGTTGCTGGAAATAAAAATTCATGGACCAATATATATCCTAATTCGCCAATTAACATCAATTGTCTAATGCCAAATACTAAGTAAAATCTCTAATTATTTGAAATTACATGCTTACACCATGGTGAGAATTAGGAAAAATCAGAAATATGGAAAAGCCAATATTGAAAATATGATTGATAACAATTCTTCAAATGGCAAACAAATAGAGAAGAAAAAAATTGAAATATTCATGAATCTAAGAATGAAACCGATGGAAAACGAAGAAGAATGCAAAAAAAAATTAAAATCTCCTAAAATCTAGGTTTACCCAACTACATAGTTCGAACAGTTGAGCTTGAGCTCCGAGCGATGGTCGATATCCAGTTGAAGAAGGATAATCTAGGGTTTGAAAAACGCAATTGGGGTCCTTCCTTTCACTTGAGCTTCGAGCGATGGTCGAATCTGGAATAGATTTTTGCAAGCTCAAGTCGAATCTGGAATAGATTTTTGCGAGAGAGATGGTCGAATTTTGAGGAGATGGTTTTTTTTGAGAGAGTTGTTTCTCGTGTTTTTGGTTGGGAGAGCAGAATAAGTGTTACAAGAAGCTTTTTTTATTTGAATTGTTATATTTATTTAATACACTAATAAGTAACAACAATAGTGCCAGTTAAATAAATGTTTGCTTATATTAATTCGTGGAATACATTTGTGGCGGTCAACAAACTGTTGATAAATATTCAATTAATAGCAGTTATTGAAAACTGCCACTAAACTTTTGCAGCCAAAGGTGCCATTATTTGTAGTGCTACTGTCACGCTAAATTTTATTTCACCACTGAATAAGCTAAACACACACGATTATGAATGTATTTGATAAGTATCATCATAGTTGTCAAAACCGGATCGGACTGGCCAGTCCGACCGGTTGAACCGGGAACCGACCAGTTCACCGGTTCGGTTCAATAGAAAAAACCAGCTGTGCCCAAAACCGGTAAAAAATCAGTCAATGACCGGTCGAACCGGCCAAAACCGGAAAAAATATCGGTTGGTTCAACCGGTCATTTTTTTTTTATTGCCAATCCAGTCAAATAATTTTTATGTATAAATTCTAACACTTTTATTGCTTAATCTATATATGGTGGGACCAACCTTTTAAAATATAAGTTAACTATATCTAATATTTATAAAGTATTATATATTTAAAATATCAATAAATTAAATAACTTAAAAATTAAGTTAACTATATCTATGAAGTATGATATATATATATATATATATATATATTTAATATCAATAAATTAAATAACGGTCCAACCGGTTCAATCACTGGTCGGACCAATGAACCATCGAACCAGTAGCTTGACCGGTTCGATGACCGGTCCGATTTTGACAACCTTGAGTATCATAAATAGTATATAGCTTATTCAATTAGTTTATAAGCTTACTATATTCAAATAAGATTGATTTGGTAATACGAGTTTTTTTAAAAAGTTCAGACTTATCTCATAAATAATTTTGGGCAGCTTTTTAAATAAGTCAATCGAATTTTTTATTTAACATGGTTTATCAACTAATTTTACAAATACTTTTATCACATTAGTTAGTTTTTCAGTCATAAGCTATAAACTATAAGCACGAAATTCACTTGTGACTGTGTTTGGTAATCACCATAAGTTAGCTTACAAGTTTTTTGTATACAAACAAATTTGGTTGTATAGGACGATTTTTTTTTTTTTTTCTTTTTTTTAACTCAAAATTCATCGTATAAGTTTATTTGAGTAGCTTTTCAAATAAGTTCATTAAAATTTTTATTTTAGCTGACTTATCAGTTAATTTAATCAAACACTTTCATCATATCAAGTAGTTTTTCAGCAATAAATCATAAATTATCAGCTTCAGCTCGAAATTCACTTATATGCTATAAACTAACTTATTAGCTACCTAGTTTGACAACGAAGCACAACTTAGTGGTAAGATACTTTATCTATAAGACTATGACCGATAGGTCATGGGTTCTGAGTGACCGATAAAAGGAATTTGGAACACTATTAATAATCCTTTAAAAAAAATAAAAAACTTATTAGCTAATTTTACCAAACATAACATGCGAATCAAAAAGTTATATTCATTGATGGCCAAACATGGTAATTATTATTATTTTATTATTATTATAGATAGTTTATTAATAAAGTAAACTAGTACAACACTCATGTATTACATGGGTGGAGACAGTGCCTCGCTCCGGGCCGTTCATGGACCAATTCATAAAAGTGGGATCGATATCCGGACAAGTCAAATCCAGGACCGTCCCGAACCGCGCCCACCCCTACCATAAATAATCAACATATTTATAGATAATTCGAACCTAAATATTTTTGGATTAGAAATAAATTAAATCTATCCAAGCCTAATAACGAAGCATGTAATTTTGACACATAGAATCTCGAAGCATGCGAACGTGCTACATAAGTTCAGCACGTTCTGAATTAATGGCCTTGTTTGGCGATTAGCGGATGGAGGATTGTATCAGCGAATAGCCAATTATATTAGCTGATTTGACCAGCGGATTGCATTAGCGGTTTTTAAATAAGTGTTTGGTAAATAGCTGAAAGCTTATAGCTGTTTGACATTGTAAAATGACCAATAAGGACATTTTATTATTTAGGGTGTATTCTTTTAATAATAATATATTAAAACATTTAATATTCTTTAGTTGGTAATTTATAAATATATTATTTTTTTTTAAATTTACTAACACTTGATGAAGAAGTTATGAATTTTACATTTTTCTAGATAAACTAAGCATATGGATGACATATTATTATTTATTAGCACCATAAACCAATGTTGATTGTAAAATAAATAAGACAAATTAAAAAGTTCCAAGTAAATGATTTTTTGTGAATCTTCTATCCCCAAAAAGCTGCTCTAATGAGCTTTTTTCTAAATTAGAGTTTTTGGCCCAACAAACTTATCAAATAAGTTATTTATCAAACAAGCTCAATAACACATTTGACGGGTCAAACTTCTCAATTAAGTTCAATCTGCTAAATTATCTTCAATTCGCTATATACTAAACGGGGCATATAAGGAGGATTATAGCGTGGTCCACCTTATAGCTTATATTGCCACTAGCAAAAAAAAAAATAACTTTGACCGGCTTTATAATCCTTTTTTATTTACTCATTAAAATATTTAGTAAAAACAAGATAAACTTCCTCCGAATTAAATATAAGAGTCGGTGTACGTGAGCCAGCCGCATAATAAAATAAACTATTACAAGAAGCCTTCACCTTAAGACACGAAGCGCTCAACACTCCCAGAAAAGCTCACTCTGAAGTCACTTCCCGAGGTTTCTCTCTCTCTCTAGACTATATAGCTAAAGATCCAAGTGCTGGTAGTAGCTATTGTGCGCCGGCGGGTAAAGTGCGAAGTACGCAACTAACAGTATCTTAATCAACACACGAATTGCACAGCTCATTAGGAGCTAGCAATTGGGCCTGGGCCGGGCCGGTTTACGGAATCCGGTCGGATATGGATCCACATGGGCCAGCGATGATGGGAGGCGGTGGAGGAGTCTACGGCTACGCCGAGATCTGGCCGGGTTTTCAGGTGAACGCCAATGCGACGCCGTATGGGTTGGGCATGGATCCGATGCTGATGGACCACGGATCGGACCATGGACCAACCAATCACGGCTCGAGGAAGAGGAAGGATGAAGACGACGAGATGTGCGCCAAAGGAGGAGCTTCGACCAGCAATAGCAACGGCGGCGATAATAATTTTCCGGTGAGTTTTTTTTCTTTTTCTTTTTTTTTTTTGGATTTTTAATGCATAAATTATTCAAAGGGTGGATCTAGAAAAAGTATGGTGGGTAGGGGCCAAAATCATATTATTTAATAAAAATAAAGTTGACACTTTTAAATGAAGAGTTATCAATTGAGATTTTTGACTTGTGTTTAGTAATCAAATTTGATGTGAAGTTACATAGGCCATTATATTGTTCCCTAATTATAGAAGAAAGACTAATTTTGAATATATAGTGTCAATCTTGAAATTAAAGTTAGATTAAGGATCACATGTTAAATTCTAACAAATAAAATTAAAGGTAAACAAAATGAGAATGAAACAAGACGCGTGAGCTCGGTTGTTAATACTCGAGCTCGTTTAGTTGCCAAGCCGTGGGCTCTTAATTTTAAGGCTCGAAGAAATCAATTACTATTTAATTTTCTATAACTTGGCTTGTTAAGCTCGAGATCGTTTAGTTAAGGTTTGATTGATTTAAGGCTCGAGTATGAGGAGCTCGAGCTCGACTCAACTTGTTTTTACTCCCATATTGGCAACTATGTACAACTACAGATCAACTAATGTTATTAAAGACTCAATTATTTTGATGGAGTTGGTTTCTTATATAATTATCATTTATGTTAGATGGAAAATTTCTTGTTTGGATGAGGTGGAATAGTTGTGCATGCTTATGTATATGCATGTGATACCTACAAAACTAAGTTAGCTGCCTAATTGATGAAAGAAACAGACAAAATGCTCATGAAATTGAGCAATATTGTCCTTCATCTATACTAGGACTAGGATTAATTCTTTCCTTTTCTTTTTTTCTTTTTTTGGTCAAAATTTTAAATATTTCTACCCTTTTGTTCCTTTTCTTTTTTCATTTCTGTGAAAATTGTTATCTGCTCAGTTGTGTGATCACGCATTTTGGTGTAGAATGGAAGTGATGGTAAAAGGCCGAGGGCTATGGAGTTGAACGAAAACAATATAGAAAATGAGAAAAATTCAGACAAGGGTACCAAGAAACCTTCGAAGCCAACCGAACAACCTAAGCAAGACTATATTCATGTCCGGGCCAGAAGAGGTCAGGCTACCGATAGCCACAGCTTAGCCGAAAGAGTAATTACAAGACCTAAATTCTCTTTTAAAAAATCTTTGAGCTAATATTCTTGGCTGTAAAATAGATGGATAATTAATAACCGGACTGGACTTGATCTTATACGATTCTTTTTCATTCTTATGTTTTGTTCATCAACTTTTGTTACAGGCCCGGAGAGAAAAGATTAGTGAAAGGATGAAGATTCTCCAGGATTTAGTTCCTGGTTGTAATAAAGTGAGAAACGACATTTTATTTCTCGATATAATTTCGTTTCTTGAATTTAAATGATAATTATTGTTATATTTTTTAGAATTGAGCTTGTATATATGGGATAAGTTACCTCAGGTCATATAGTCGATTTGTCATTTACTTGTCATTTTACGAGGAAATATTTAGCGCACTTCAATTAGTTGTTCTTTCATATTTTGCCAGTAGTTATATTTCTTACATCTCGCATTATGTGTTTTCCTGTCTTAGGTTATTGGTAAAGCTCTCGTGCTGGATGAGATTATTAATTATATTCAATCTTTACAGCGCCAAGTTGAGGTCTCTCATTCTCTCTACACGTTTGTGTGTGTGAATATGTTTGTTTATACGTGAAAATGTACTAATCACAATTGTACATTTGTTGCAGTTTTTATCGATGAAGCTCGAAGCAGTAAATGCAAGTGAGACCGTTGATGGATATCCTTCTAAAGACGTACGTGTCTCGGAATTTTATTTTATCCGTACGCACGCCAATATTATTCTATTTATTTATTTAATTTATTTCTTCTTTCTCTTTTTGATCAGCAACCTTTTGAGGTTCCGGGCATAGCTTTCGGTTCCCAAAGCGCACGTGAATACAATAGGGACTCGTCTCCAGATTGGCTACACATGCAGATTGGTGGTAGCTTCGAAAGGATGTCGTGAAAACTATTATGGTCTCTACCTATATGTACTCGTCGAGTCGAATTTTTTTTTTTTTTTCCTTTTTTGGTTACCTTTTATACGTCGAAACAACCTCAAATGATGCGGAAAGTGGTCGTATTTTGTTACGAACTTTGTTTCATTCATCACCCGAGAAAGATTTTCATAGAAGATTTAATGATCTTTCTGCAAATAAATAGAGTTGTATATGTTCCAAACGGTAATATGCATTTGTTTGGACTTTGGAGAGTAAGAAAAGCTGATGGTGCATTGAACATAACAAGCTTTGGTTGTTACCTGCATTTGCAATCTTCCATAGGATAGAAGTGTAAATGTTTCAAAATTCAAATCACTCCCCAATTACAAAGTATCTAA